GCATCCTTGCTGCTCTGCGGAGGCAGATCTTCATACTTCCACTCCAGTACATTGTGACAGAAGTCTACTTCCATCTCTAGCCAGGGCCAGAGCATCTTTATAGCTGACTGGATGGGAGAGGCTGGCTCTAAGGGTCTCAAAAGAATCCAAAGACTATTTGCCATCAAAGCCTACCCTGTGTAAAATGTTCCACCCAACTGTCTCTCACTAGAGACCTGAGTCTCTAATGCCCTCTGGGGCTCTGCTGAGTCTGTTTGAAGACTCACCCTACAGGGTTATTCCCCAGGAAATGCTGAAAGGGAAACATGGCCTGGAGAATGAGGTACTGCTCTAGGTCAACTGACTGTCCTGGCTACCCCGCCCGCCCCCAAAAGCACCAGCCTTTGATGATTGCCTTCTGGCCCCAAGCTGGGGGGTTACTTCCTGCAGAGCTTCCTGGAGAGAGATCCAGTGAGCTGTTAACTCTTGCTTCCAGGGGAACTATAGCTGGCTCCCTGAGTTTCATCTCCATCTGACTCCCTGCTCCCCTCTTGCCCCATGCCCCGCCCTGCGTTTCTTGGCAGGCAGGATAGAATAACCTATAGCAGAGATGTCACTGAGTATCTGCCAAGGAGCCCTCTGCTTCCGGTTTTTGTTTCTTCAGTCCTAAGGAGCACTGTGGCAAAGCTAACCCATGTTCTCCTCACCTCTCTCCTCTGTAGCCCCCTGGGCCTGCTCAGGCACCTGTGACCTTGTTTCCTGTCTTTGTAGCCTAGGGCTAGAGTTGATGGGACTCTCATGGGATCAGCTGGGACTTAAATAGAGCATCCAGGGGAAGGTATTGCAGAGCACATGCCAGCTATATGGGGGGGGGCTGTCATTTCTCTTAAATGCCATCATGCTCTGAGGCCTCTTCCATGGTACTGTGCACAGGGGCAAGAGGACTGTCTCCTCCCCAGCTGGGAGTTCGCACCAGATGGCTTCAGCTGCCATCCAAATGGGAAAATGACAATGCTGCTGCTGTTAGGCTGGGGGCCCTTTGCTTCCTCTTGCCCACCCTGCCTCCCAAGAAGCCCTTGCCTCTCTGCCAGAGTCAGGCCCTGGGGAGGCCACAGTCTGTAGTCTTGCAGTCTATGTCTATTGTCTATGGTCAATTCTCAAAGCTGAGGGACAAGCACTTCAAAGAGAGACCAGGGCGGGGCGTGGTGGTACATGCCTTTAATCCCAGCACTAGGGAGGCAGGTGGATCTCTGTGAGATGGAGGGCAGCCTGGTCTACACAGTGAGTTCCAGACCAGCTTTTTTGGGAGACCCTGTCCCAAAAAACCCCAAAAAGAACAAAAAGAGAGACCAGGAGTGATAAGACTTTCTGGCCACCTGGGCCTCTGTTGCCATCTCTCAAACACAAAACCAGGAAGACAGCAGAGTCCGGCAGGCTAGTGGGCATTGAGCAGTAAGGAGTAATTCTTAGAAATGTCTGTTCCATCCATAGTCAGTAAAGCCTAAGACTTCCCACCAAATAATCCAGTAGAAGGTGACACAAAGGCAACCGATAACAATTAGCCAGGTGTTTCCTGTGGTCAGTTTCAAATTTTATAGCCACTGTGGAAGGAAGCATCTCAGTGAGAAAGGTTAGGGAAAGATAGGCTCTGGCTCATGAAGAGATCTTTGACCTGACTACTGACTGATGACTGATAGTTTGGTTTAACTGTCACCCTGCATGCTAGGCAAACCCTGGCCAGATACATTCCAAATGAACCAACTTGGATGAACCAAGTTGTTGAGGTAGATAGTCAAGCATTATATGCCGGCCACTGAAATCTGAACAGATTCTTAGCCGGTATAGAACATATTAAGAATGTTTGGAAAAGCTCAGGTACACTCTACTGAGCCAATGCCCATGTTTGTCTAACTGGCATATATGCCCCTTCCTCCTGCCTTGGCATGTGGGGAGCTCCCACTTCACTGCTTGCTACTCAGGGCATGCTTCTGCCTGTAAACCCCTAATAAATCGCACTCTGAGCAATCCTGGATTTGTCTGTCTAGTGTGACTTTGAATGCAATGTCCACTGGAAGGAGAAACTCTCACCAACACTGCTTTCGATGGGGGATGGACAGACCCCTTCTGCACTCCAAGTAGCATGGCCCCAGATGCTCGCGTAAAATGCTTCAAAGACTCCTAAGGATCTCACAAAATTGACATCCTTTGCGTTCAACAGACAAAACCTCCATGTCATGCTATGCCCTGAGACTTGGAGCGAATGACTGGTTAGATGACGTTCCTTTATGAAGGAAAGAAGGGACACTGTTATGTTGCGGGAAGAAGGGACTCTGGATTCAGATTCAGTCTTGATAAGACTCTAGCTGACTGGGCTACCCAATCACTTGGATCAACTTTTATTTTCTTCCATTGATTAGTTCTAAGTGATAGTCAGCCTCATGCCCATGTTTAGTGAGCTACCTGCCTTCACCTTCCCAGTTCTCCATCATTGGAAAATATGAGTATTCTTCTATAAGTATTCTTTCTCAGCAACATGAGAATGCCACTAAACTAGCCCTTCGCTTAGACAGATAGTGTTCAGTAGGGAGTAGAGGAAACATGTAAATCTTCCTTTAGAGAAGTTGAACACTGTATATCATATTCAGAGAATGATACCAAATATCAAGGCATATAGGTTGGTTGGTTATATTTGTTTAAAACACTGGGATGCTAAGACCAAACTCTTAGGCTACAGGCTTGAGTACCCTGATCATAGAGCTGATATCTCTAGAGCCATGGGCCATGTTCCCAGACTTAGCTCCAACTGTAGGGTTGAGTATTACTGCTCTAAGCACACAGGGAGCATGGAAGGGTCAACGGCAATTCATGGCCATCATGAACCCGGAAAGATCTGAATGCATCACCCAGTAGAGTCTCCCTTTTATGAAAGAAACTCAGGAAAGTATTTTAAAAAATTTGAGCCTTTTGTCATTTAAATACCTAAATCTCAGGAGCCTGGAATATTTTTCTCCTTCAGTCTTCCCAATAGCATCTCTGCAAATTCACCTATGTGACACACAGATATATAGAGGTGGCAGACGCTTTCTTGTTCTGCTTTGTTAACAGATCTAGGAGAGCCCCTGGTGCCAACAGCACTTCTGAGATGAAGGGACATCAATAAAGACTCCTCATAGAGCTTCCCTGAGACTATTCTTGCCTGTCTTGACACCCACTTCTCATGGAAAACAGCCTGAAGATGTTTTCTTGCACATCTTGCCCAAGTACCAGGTTTCCTCTCTTTTACCTCAGCCCACACGATCTACCTGAAGGACATCCACAGGACCATCAGAGATCTGCTTGCCCACAAAGAAAACCTCTCCTTTCCCTCAGTTTGCACCTGAGAGTCCATGTTACTTCCACAGTGTGCTTTTAACTTGTCAGCTAAATACCTAAACCTCCTCTATTCACAGCAGCCAGGCCTCAGCTCAACACAGAGAGACACCCCATCACTTCCTATGCAGTTCTTGTGGGGCAGAGGAAGTCCCACAGGCCAGGCCTTTGACAGTGCATGCAGCACCTTTTTGATGTGGGAGGCCACGTGACCTTGGTAAATCGGCTCTAGGGACAAAGGACCAGCAGGTTTGCAGCCCGCATTTTCTGATTTCTCTCATGAGAAAACCTACTAAGAGAGAGAAAGAAGAGCACCTATATTTTAATTGCCATCTCCTAGAGTTGTGATATACACATAGGGAGAATTGAAAAGAATATTTAAATGCTGTTAAAATGCATCCACCTATGGCAGCAAATGGCTAGGTGGTTTTCAATCAGGATTCTTAGATTATTTAAAAAGGACTAAAAGGTTACTAATCATACAGTAGTCATGTTTTACAAAGACTTTTCAACAGAGATGGGGAAACAAGGCAAATCAGCATCATCAGCTGGGTTCTACTCTCTGGGAAGGGGAACATGGCCAATTCCATGTGCTCCCCAGCTGCCATCTTGGTTGTCTCTAGTTTGACGTTAACAGTACAGCTGGGGCCCTATGAACTCAGTGGCTCCTTGATCAGTCAGTGAGGAAGCAGGATTGAATACTTCCTGTGCATCAAGGCTAATGCTTGAAGAACCCACCATGGAAAGTGGAGATGGTTCTGTCCTGTGCTATATGTAGATCATGGTATGGAATCTCATGGTGTATAATCCCATAGGGAAGTCCCCTCCTGGACTATTCTTACCCAACTGTTCCTGGGGGAAGCAGGTTCCCTTCTGTGTCACTCTGTGCCCCTGCCTCTCTAAGCTGGTGTGTGTGTGGGCAAGACCATGTCTCTGCAGTGATAGTGAACCTGTAGGCTGTGTCAGAATAAGGGACTAGGAAGAATGTAAGACTTTGGAGGGGTACTTGGGACAGTGATGGGACTCAGCAACTACCTTCCTCTCCAGGTCACATTATGCAAATGAGGCTGACAGAGGGCTGTAGGAACTCATGCAGAGGCCACTAACATACTAGCTAGACCACATAGCCACAACCCATGCAACACAGTTGCTTTCTGCACACAGCAAAAGCCACCTACGCAGCAACAGCAGCTCGCGACCCGCACCAGCGTGACTGTCAGAGTTCACAGAGGGAAATTTGGATTTTTTTTTAGTTGAGCGATGGCTCTGAGCCAATTTGGTTCATGGTACGTTCGATGGCCTTCTCCCCAGGCTGCTGTAGACGGATGCACAGATGGCCCAGCCCCAGGAGCAGTAGGGTCCTTCCTCCCCCAGAGCCTTGAAAAGAGGCCACAAGGCCCAGCCTGAGGCTGGGTGGTCAGCTGTGAACCTTCTGCACAGGGGGCTGCTTGCTCTTTTTGCAAATCCATCCCTAGAAGAGAAGCTGCAGACACTGGCAAAAGAAAAGGGGTGAGTGGAGGGGGAAGCACTGGGGTCCCTCCCACCCTGAAGAAGATGACAACCAAAAAAGGACAAAAAAAGTGTTTTGAAAAACCAAAACCAAAAGCAAAAGAAACATTGAGGGGGGAGAAAAAAAACCCGACTGAACTTACCACACTGCGAGTGAACTTTTCTAGGGAAGTTCTACGACCTTGCTCACTTTCTGGCTTTAGGGGGAGAAAAAAAAAAAAAAAAAAAAAAGGGTAGGGAGAAAAATACAGGGAAAAAAAATCCTTCAGCTTACATGTGATTTCCAAACAGCAGTCACCGCAGCTAAAGAACAAAACACAAAAGCGAAATGGGACAAAACGGGAAAAGGGAAGCAGCCAGAGCTGTTGGCAGAGCTGATGGAGAGGTGGAAAACAGGAGCCCAGGAGAGACGTGCTGCCTCCCTGGAGTGGAGGGGAGAGAGGGACTTCTCGCAGGGTCATGAGTGACGCTGCAGAGCTGGGGGCCCACAGCCTTGGCATTGTTGGGCCCAGTTGCTAGTTTCAAGGTGACTGCTCACTGCTTTCCCCTTGTTGAGAGCCCTGGGTGGTTGTGGTCAGGAGGCCCCAGGCAGTCATCTGGGGCTCCGAGTGGTGATACAGAGCAGATTAGCTCTGAAGGCTGTCAGCATGTGGTAGTAGTGAGTGAGGGGGGGATGTGGATGGGATGTTGGGAAGCAGCCACTGGGATGGAGTCACTCCTGAATCCATCTGTGAGTGTGGGGCAGGACTGCTTTCTCTCTTGAGGTTTTCCTGCCCAGAGGAATGTTTGCTAACTTCAGCAGCTGCCTAGTGACCTTCCTTCAGGGTCCTGAGAGCAAGAGAGTCTACTCATGTTGTCCTTTGCAATGACAAAGGGTCTGGGGCCTCAGAAAACAATAGGGTATGTTCTGAGCAGAAACTACATTTACCCAGGTGGGTAACACTTAAGCTCTACTCAGGATGTGTTCCAGGAGGTTCAGGATCCTCTTCCGTGGGAAACTGTTAGCCGAGGTTCAAAGGCAAAGGCAAGAGAAGGCAAAGGCCTGGAATATTCTTCTATAGGCTGCTCAGGAGAAAGAGAGGTATGGTGTATACCTGACTCCCCCAGATTTCCTACCTAGGAAGAGCAGAATTCCACCCCAAATACCTGCTGGTTTATTCTTGAGCCCCATTCCAGGCTTTGAGCCTGAGGCTGACAAATTCAGAGTACACCACACACACACACACACACACACACACACACACACACACACACAGAGAGAGAGAGAGAGAGAGAGAGAGAGAGAGAGAGAGAGAGAGAGAGCAAAGCAGCTGTGTTTGTGGGTCTGAAATGTGCTGGGAGCAGAGGGGTCAGACCATTCTGGGCACCTACTCATGCCCTCTGCCTGTTCAGCCAGCTCTCGAAAGACAGGAAGTTGCAGAAGGAAAACACAACACAAATGACACACGACTATAGAGTTGGGCTGGGCTTTTCTCTCACACAGTACCTGCAGGACCCATGTCTGGCCTCAGGGACCATACCAAGACTCTGCTCTGAGATGGTAAGACTCAGCTTCATCCCATAGGCACCAGGTGGCAGACACTGAAGTCAAGTCGGGTCTGTTCTAGGTCCAGCATTTTGGGCCTGTCATTCTTGTCCCCTGGCCACTGAGTTGGGTCACCCCCGACCTCCCCGGAATCCCATTATCATTGCTACATCACTGTCTTGGAATAGCTTTTAAAATCTAGCTCACCTACCCCTTAGAGTCTGGTTTTCCCAGCAACTACCCTCTCCACTGAAAACAACCCCAAAGAGGAAGAATTGGGGCAGAAATACCAGAAGGCTACGTTTCTAGACTCTACCAAGGGTGGCTCTTAGCCAAAACGGGAGGCCAGTTCTTAACCTCTCATGGCTGGAGGTTATAAATCTCATGTACTTTTTATGACCTGGACATTACTATCACAGGGTGAGTCCACTGTTGAAATGAGAAGGTGCTCTAGGCCTACCTGAAGGTGCTGAGTTAGAAACCTGATCTGTACCTGGAGATTCTCAGAAAGAAATGGCAGGGAAAGTAGTTTAGTCGCTATCTGGGGAAATAGCTCCACAATTCGGAAAGGGTATGGGCATGTGCACTGGCTTTTTGCTGTAAGAGTATCCCTTCATATGAGAGCTAGGAGATAACTGTAATGAACTTCATTTGTAACCTTTCCCAGGAAGGAGGTCAGCTCCTTCCTGCTTCACTGGCCGGTAGGTTTTCTTTTGCTGGGAGGATCTGCAAGCTCAGCTTGCATAGCCCACTTCCTGGGTTGAGGTGCATCTTCCCTTTTGTGTTCACACCCAAGGTGTGAGAGACTGAATGACCTCTGACCTTTCCTAGGTAGAGCTAGGTGCAGGTTCGTGAATTGCTAGAGCCTTACACTGTCCCCAAACTGGGGTCAATTTAGGTGACTTGAGTCTCAAGAAAACTTCCTTTGACTCTCTCCTGTGATATTTGGGCTGCAGATACCCAAAGCTTCCATGATCTTGCTCTTTCCTATAGTGCTTGAAAAGTGAGTATCAGAGCCATTTGTGGGGGTGTCAGCCCCATTTTACCAGAGCCCATCCTCCAACAAGGGAATTGTCAAAAGACCAGGTTTCATATTCTCCATCCCAGAAGGAGGGATGTGGGAACCCACAGAGCTGGGCTTCTGACAACATAGGTCTTCCGGAAGACCTTTTCTCTTTCTCAGTCTTAGACTCTTCCCGGCATGCCTAAATGCAGGAAGGCAGGAAATAATGCTCTCCTGGACTCTGCAGTTACATGGTACTAACTGGATACACAGACGGGATTCTGGCACACAAAGTACAGGTGACAGTACACAGAGAAGAGCAGAAGCCGAGAGGCAATCTGACAGACAGACTGCGGATGGACAACCACATGCTGGGGGACTGTGGTTAGAAGGCCTGGCAGGAAGGAGAAAGGGTGTGTATGCCCCTACGTGATGTGGCATGGAAGCGTGGAAGCCACACCTAACCACACCTGGGCTTCGGGTTGGAGCTGAAGAGTAGGAGAATCGTGGGCCCACTGGACTCAGGAGCTCTGTCTCTGACCTCCCCTCTCCTAGCCCCACGCTCCTCTCTGCTTTTCTTTCCATCCTCCCAGAAATCCCGCTGAGTTTGTCTCCGTTCAGTGTGCCCTTACCACCCGCATATTGAGGGTGTTGGGACCCTTAGATCCATGACTCTAAGGGCTTCAGGAGCCATTATTTAAATCCAAATGGAGGAGGAGGAAGTAGCTGAGACTCAGTTACTTCCTGTTTGAAAGAACTGGGAAATACTTGGGGGCAGGTGAAGGCAAGAAAGGGATTAGTAAGGCGGGACCAGTCCTGGGGATAACTTGGATATCTGGTGGCTCCCTCTTGAAACGAGCAAGGCTTTCTTCCCCATGAAGGGGCTGTCCCAGTCCTTGCTTCATATGACCCCTCGCTAGGCTGATCAAAAAGAGAAAGTCTGTTGGGAAGGGCTGGATAGATTTGGCAATGAAAGGCTCTCTTTGATATCCTAAGAGATTTGCTGGGGTTACTACCAACCTCGCATCTCTGGGCTGAGCCACTGTGGCTATGGTACTTGGTACTACTCCCTTCCTGTGGGCAAAACATGCAGACAGAGCAGTGGGAACAAGGAGGCAGAATGTCACATCCTGGACCTTGGGGAGGTTGGGGCAGTGACCATCCTCACTGTTTTCCATTGAAAGGGAGCAGATAGAAAAGAGGAAGAAGAGAAGAAAAATAAATAAAACCCAAGGGATGATATTCTCATTTAACATCAGCAGCAAGCAGCAGCAAGAGTCGACAGGGCTAAGAAAGGCAAGCCTTTCCCAAAGATACCTTCTTCTTGGCCAGCAACAGGTCCTGGTAAGCACTGGACCGCAGGAAGCGGGCATAGCTGTCACTTTTCATCAGCTTGTAGATGTGTTCCTGAGGAAGGAGGGAGGTGGGAGACACAAGAAAGAACTGTCAGCCAGAGCTAAAGGAAATGATAACCTGAACTGACCCTGGGGCAGGGGTGGGGGTGGGGGGAACAAAAGGAACCTAGGAATGTTTGAATGGAGTAAGGAAGTCTTGTAACACGTTCTGGCTCTCCCATGACACACTTAAAACAAGAAATAAAGTAAGAAACAATTAAAATAGTATTTTCCCTCTTAGAGCAAAAGATCCTTGAGGTTCATGTCTCCAAGGCTTTGGAATCAGGTCTGGGTGTCATGTTGGAGTGCATAGTGATTAAAACCACAGCACAGTAGTAAGAAGAAATGAACTACTGGTGTACTCGACAACTGGGAAGAATCTCAAGGGAGTTATGACGAGTAAAAAAGCTGATCCTCAGATTATACCATCTGATTCCATTTACAGAACATTCTTGAAAGGAGAAATTATAGAAATAATTATAATAATTGGAGCAGATTAGTGGTGGCCAGAGGTTAGGGATGGGGGATGGGTTGGTATAAAAGGCAGGAGGGGGGGCGCTGGAGAGATGGCTCAGAGGTTAAGAACACTGGTTGTTCTTGCAGAAGACCCAGGTTTGAATCCCAGCACCCACATGGCAGCTAACAACTGTCCATAACTCTGGTTCCAGGGGATCCGACAGCCTCTTCTGTCCTCCACAGGCATTGCAGGGCATGGGTGCACTTACCTACATGCAGGCAATACACTCATACACATAAAATAAAAATAATAAAAATAATTTAAAAAAGGCAACAAGAAGGATCTTTGTGGTGATGGGTGGTTCGGTGACTCCATACACATCGCCACATGATAAATTTGTATAGAATGAAGTGTACACATACTTGAGTACAAATACAATGGGAAATCCGAATGAAATTGGGGAATTGTGGCCATGCCAATAGAATGGGTGCAACGCTCTAACACGGTTTTGCAAGACGTTGCCATGGGAACTGGATAAAACAAATGGTACACCTCTGTTTTATTTCTTACAACTGCCTGGGAGTCTGCAAGTGACTCTAAGAAAAGTTCAATTTAAAAAAACAGCCTAGAGGGGCTCGGAAGATGGCTCAGCGGGTAAAAGCGCTTGCTGTGCAAGGATGAGGGTCTGAGTCTGAATCCCCAGCACCCATGTAAAAAGCCAGGCGTGGCCGTCTATATGCCTGAACCCCAGTACTGTGGGAGGACTGGATCTCGGGCTCACTGGCTGACTGTCTAGTTCCAGGACAGACTCTGTCTCAAGAAAATAAAGTGAATGGTAGCACAGTACACCTGACATCCTCAGCTGGCTTCTGCATGCGCGTACACACACAGACACACACACACACACACACACGCACGCACACACACAGACACACACACATACACAGAGCATATCTCCTCACACATATCACATACACCCCCACACACCCCACATCCACACCACATACACCACACACACACACACACACACAAGTAAAATAAAACGATATAATTGAGACATTGGTACATATGAGCACCACCCTTTTGCCTTGGAAGGTGGCCCTTGATAATCAGGTCATGGAGTACATGGGCACATACGGCAGCATGCTACTACCTCTTCTCCAGGGCTCTGAGTGACCTCTGTATTTTGACCTTGGCAAAAAATATCACCACTAACATCTAGCCAAATCCTATATGTACATGGTTCCTTCCTAATGGATCTATTCTTACCAAAGGCAGGATAATCCTGGCCCATGAAAAGAGAGCGGTGGAAAAAGGATTATTTATCCCTTGAGGTGGATTTCACCTTAGACGCATAGGAAATATCTCTGTCCCAAGAGAAGGCCTGTTGGGAGGGAGAATGGGCTGTCTGAGACGGTGGGGCTGACAAGTGGTGGCTAGCCTAGCAAAGGAAGCCTTGTCTCTCATGCTGTTCACTGTCCCTCCATGAAGCTGGGCAAAGGCCTCAGTACTGGGGGGATGGAAAGCTGGTTAGTGAGGAGAGAGGGCCCAGCTGAAAGGCAGGGCTTGTTCTTGGGCACCTCTTCCTGGCTGCTCTTCCCAGAGGCGGAGACTTCCTATCAGTTGTGGGGACACATTTTTGAGAAGCTGGGCTGGAGGAGCCTGAAGCAGTGGCCAGAGCTTGCCAAGACTCTCCCCCTACCTATATAGAAGAAAGTGAAGGTGTAATAGCTGAGATACAGAATTAACCTAGATGTCTATCAAATGATGAACGGATAAAGGAAATGTGGTGCGTGTATCATAACAGGAGACTCTTCAGTCTAAGAAGGATGAACCTAGAGAACATTAAGTTAAATGAAGTCAACCAGACACAGAATAACAAGTGCTGCATGACTGTTTGCACATGGGAGACATATCAAACTCACAGAAACAGAGAGCAGAATGGTGGTTGACAGGTGGGTGCAGGGCAGGGATGATGGGGAGATGCTGAGCAAGGGGAAGAATGTTTCAGTTAGACAGGAGGCCTCTAGTTCATCACACGACTACATTTTACAACAGTATCAGGTGTTCTTAAAAATTGCTAAGAGGGTGAATTTTAAAGTCCCAACCAAAAAATAAGCATACGGAGGAATATATGTGCTAAATTGTTTAATTTATACATTCCATAATGTATGTGTGTGTCCAAAGGTCATGTTTATTTCATGAAAACATGCTTTTCTTAAACTTGTCAATTAAAAAAATAATGAAAAACAAATGAAGAAAATGAAAGTGGGATGCAAGAAATGTTTTGGTCAGGTGTAGGAACTTCTGTACCCCATCCTGAACTAGACCCCAAAGCGTCCTGGGACCAGCCTCCTAATATGTTTCATACTTATAAAGGTGGAGCAGTATCTTCGCCAGCAGAATGGACTCATTGCAGGGAATCCAGGGAAATTGAACAGTGGCTTGCTTCGGAGATTTCTTTGTGGGCCCGCTGGGCTTTGATTGAAACACCTTTCTGTGAAATATTTTTCT